CATTTTTTTTGACCATGTCATCAGAGGGGCTCCGTAAATATTTACGCAAATACGAAAATATTCAAAAGGAACCCCCCACTGGAAAAAAGATCAAAGAAAAAATAAGTATTGCCTACCCGGAAGTAATTCTGTGCAGAATGTGCAGGACGGATCGCGGTCCCAGGACAGATCGCGTTGTGACAATGCATGCTGGGTAAAGAGCTGAGGATGATGACGTTTTTCGAGCACGAGTACGCACAAGTACACAGATTTAGAAACGGCCTAAATTTATCACTTTGGTTTTAGGTTTAGGTTTTTGCAGATTTGAACTGCAAGTCTGAAAATGAAACCCAACATGAAATATTAGAATTGAGGCTTTCCATTGCGGATAGGTGCCTTGCCCAGAGGCACGTCGACATGATGGAGGTGGAACGGAGCCTCCAGCTTTCAGATCCAATGGCGCTAACCTTTGGTTAGGAAGCGTTTGCTCTGCGATCCAATGGGAAGCCATCTTTAAAGTTCCTCCTGGTTCTAGAAAATCAGGATGATGATGATGATGATGATGATGATGATGATGATAAGTTGAAGGCTCCTCTTTCTTCCTCACTGAATTGAAACCATTTTCTTTTTGTCTTGCAGCCAAAACTGCACCATTAAGTGTGCTTGCCTTACAAGCCACTACGGGGGAGCCAGCTCCACTCAGTCTGGGACTGAGCCAGCGGGACTCTGGGGGGGTGTGTGTGTGTGCGTGCTGAGTGTGTGTGTGTGTGCGTGCTGAGCGTCCGCTCCGGTGTAAATGGACCAGGTATGTGTGCCGTATGGAGCTGTATGAATGAGCAGAGGAGGGCTGAAACATAGAGTATGGATTAGAAATACCTCAAGACCATCTGGTTATGCTGCTAAATTGAATATGTTGGTTTATTAAAAATGTAATTTTCACTTGGTTTCTGTGTCTGCGGCTCTTCTTCCTGCTGGTAGCGGTCCTCCTGCCGAACTGTGCGGCTCTCTGCTTCCTCTTTGACCACCGATGGCGTCTCCCGTTCGTTGTCCAGCTTTTCCAGTCCCGGTGTTCCTGCGATCTGAGAGGACTAGCCAACGTCCTCCATGATTGTTTACATGATTTATGCTTTTAAAACAGGATTTTGGTTTAACATAGTTTGTCTTTAGGGATTTCAACAGATTATAATTTCATCTTTGAAATAAACGTCTGCAGATATTTCTGATCAGGTTAGTGATCATTCACTGTTTCTTCTCCATGGCAACAGTTTGTTTAGCTCCATTAGAGATTGAACTAACAGATTCTGCAGAGTGGGAGAATAG